AAAAATTGAATATTAATAGATTATAATACGTAAATATAAATATATTTTATTATTATTAAAATAAATCAAAGATCTCCAGAGTTTAATATAGTAACCTTCACTCCGGAGTCTTTTAACGACGACGGAGTTTCTCCGGAGGTCTACGCCCGAAGATTTTCGGAGATCTTTGCTAAAAAATTTCCTGATGTATATAGAAGAGAGGGAGAGGATAAGAGAGAAAAATAAAGAGGTATAGAGAGGGAGCATAAAGAGAAGGGAAAGGAGAAGACGAAGAAAAAGTAAACAACTCAAGAATTTCCTAAAAAGGAAAATTTCAAGCATAAAAAGGGGAGTGGGAAAGAGTTTTTTTTTTATAATTTTTAATCATTTATTATATATTATTTAATAATTTTAATATAATATGATTTTTGAAAAATAATTAAATTCAATTTATTATATATATAGCTAATATTATAATAATTATCAAAAATTACAAAATATATAAAATATTTATTTTTAAGTAAAATAATTTTTTTTTTTTTGTTGGCTAAGGGCATTAGATGCAAGACTTTATTTACTAATTGATAGTACTGTTATTACATTAAACATTTTTACAGACTAAACTATTGCTATTCTAGAATGTAAATTAATATTACTTAGTATTTACCATTTCCAGTAATACTGGTTTTCCAAAGTTTAACCCGACTACTTTGGTTGACCAGCTTGCATCAAGTAGATGAGCTCACACCAGGTAAGACTTACACAGGATAGAGTAAGTCCCACCACTAGTTTAAACCTACCATCCTATTGGTTCAATTGTATTTTTGGCTTAACGATTTTTTGTTTAGTTTTCTCACCATCTGTGGCTAATACCTTGCCCATCAGCCATATGATTAAGTTCTGTGGAACACCACCATTGGGATAGATCTACAAGCTTCAGATTGGAATAAATCAGCTTAGAATTAACCTCTTTATATTGTGTGATGGAGTCTGCCATCACTAGTTTGGATTAGAGTTTGTGGGCTTATTACCAGAGTTAGATCAGAAGCCTTTCCTTGTGCAACCCTCCTTGCTTCGACCTGTTTTCAGCCTGTGATTGTTGGGAAGACCAGAGGTCCCATCTTCATGCAGTTTGTTTAACTAAATTTGGAGATAGATTTGTCAGTTGATTGGATATAACATGAATTGGAAGCCGGTCAACCAATTATGAAGGTGATAAATTTTTGTAACCAGGTAGGGTTGAACCCTAGACCTTCTCCTGGTGACCTATGGAGCATTACCACTATGCTATAAACCCATAGGTCTTTTTAAGTAAAATAATTTAATAATTGTTTTTATATAATATATAATATTTATTTTTGCAAGTTATTAAAAAGTTTATATTTTAATTCAATAATAAATTACTTTAACAATTATTTATTTTAAGAAGATAGTTAAAACAATAGTAAATATTAATAGTTGAAATAATTTATAATTAGTAAGTTTATAAGATAAGTTTTTTAAATATTTTTAAATAGTTTTAAAAAAGATAAAAATTAAATAATATAAATTTAGAAGATTTTCTTTATAAAGTTTTATTTATTAATAAAAGTATTATTTTTAATGTTTTTTTTTAATTTTTTCTTAATATATTTATAATTAAAAATAAAATTTAATATATAATAAAAATATTATTATAAATTATTACATATAATACTTTGGTTATTAATTATTTTATCAAAAAAATTATTTAGGAAAAAAAAATATTATTAAAAAAATTAGGAAGAATACTATTTAAAAGGAAGTATTGTATGCAATGATTATGATAATAATATTATAACATATTATAATTAATAAGATTTTTAAATATGAAATCAATAATAATAAGCTAATATGAAAATAAAATTTAATATAGTATAATAATATGTAAAATAATTTATAAGCAATAATTTTTTGTAATATATAAATTAAATAAAAATCATGTTAGGCATGATTCAATTAGTCAAATTAATTAATTATATATTTTAAAACAAAATTTATTTTATTTATTATAAATAATTTTTAAATATTTATTTTAAAAAACATTTTATTTTTTTAAAGGTTTTGTTTTTACTAATAATAACTAATACAAAATTTTTTATAAAATTTTTTTATAATAAATAAATATTATTTCTTTATTTATTTGTATTCATCAAAGTATATACTGTATATTTGAAAAATATATAAAACAATCTTATTTTAAAATCATTTTTCTATTCTTTTATTCTTTTATCTTTTATACAAATAATTATAAAACCTTTTATTTTTAGAAATTAAACTTTAATAGTAGATAATTTCTTTCTTTTTCTATGTTCAATAAATATGTAATTATGAATTTATCTAATACAATTTGACTAATGCTTTAAGATAATTTATAAACGTTGATACCACTTATATAAAAACCAAAAAATTTCCGATTGGTCTTGTAACGTGCCACGTTCAATATCTGTATTACTTTAAAAAAATTATATAATGAGCTTTCTCGTGGATCTTTTCAAGTGCAAAAGGTGTCGTCGATTCGGATAATATGTCTCAACATAGATTTCCCTCGCAATACGAGCCATGGTCTACTCAACAAAAATGGAATTACAGACAGCAGCAGCAGATGCAATATTACCAACAACAGCAACAACAGTTGTATCAGCAACATTTTCAATCTCAGCAGCCTCAATACCAACAGAATGTGCAAGCTCAATATGAACATATGGAATACACTCCGTCTTATGACGGCCAAATAAGTTATTCAAGTGCTAGCTACCAACTTCCAACACAGCACACTCAAAGTTCATTGTCCGCCCAGATACAACCATCATATAACTATGAACCTCAACAACTTCCTCGTATCAATCAACTTTCTCAACAGCTTCTATATCCCCAACAATTTTCCCAACAACAACTTCAACAAATGTCTCATCAACAACCATTATCGCAACAATCTCTACCGCAACCAATATTGCAACCGTCACCTTCAAAACAAATATTGCAACAACCTTTATCACAATCGTTATCGCAACAATCTCTATCGCAACCATTAACTCAACTACCTTTGCCGCAATCATTATCGCAACAACCTCTATCACGACCATTATCGCAACAACTTCTACCACAGCCATTATTACAACAATCGTTATCGCAATCATTCTCGCAACAATCTCTATCGCAATCATTATCGCAACCACCTTTACTGCAACCATTATCGCAACAACCTCTATCTCAATCATTATCTCAACAACCTCTATCTCAATCATTATCTCAACAACCTCTATCGCAATCATTGTCTCAACAACCTCTATCGCAATCATTATCTCAACAATCGCAATCACTATCACAACCTCCTTTACAACAATCATTACCACAAAGATCCCTACCGCAATCATTATCGCAAAAACCTCCACCGCAATCATTATCACAAAAAACTCTACCGCAATCGTTATCGCAAAAACCTCTATCGCAACAATCCCCATTACAACCTTTACTACATCAGTCTCTATCGCAATCGTCATTATCACAACAACAGTCGTTACAACAATTGCCATCACAACTTCTACCGCAACAACCTCTATCACATCAGTCTCTATCACATCAATCATTATCAAAACAACAAGCTTCACAGCAACTGCCATCACAATCTTTACTACATCAGCCTCCATCGCAACAACTGCCATCACAAAAACCATCATCGCAGCAACAATTGTCACAACAGCCTTTACAAAAACAACCATTATTGCAACAAGAATTATCACAGCAACCATTATCACGGCAATCTCCACAAAAACAGCCACCACCCTCAGAACTGATATCATCACAGCAACATTTGTTACAACCAACGATTTCGACGCCGACTCCTCCCGAAACGCGTACACATTCTTCTTTATACCAGTCACAATTAACCCAACAACAGGTATCTCCTCAGCAAGAATCACAGTTACTGCCTTACCAACTTCTTTGGTATCTGACCGAACATTACCTGTCCAAAGCCGCATCATTACCTACTGGATCTTTAGCAAATTTCCCAAAGTTACCACCACAACATCAGCAACATATTTTAGCTGCAATTAAGTGCCTGGAAGCCGTGATCGCGAGTATTACTAGTGGAAATTCTTATATGCCTCTTGTCGAACTAAAGACGCGTTTCAGATTGAGTCAAATTCTATTCTGGTTTACTGATAACATTCGGGAGGCAGAAAGTCATTTGCAGAAGGCTGTGAATATCAAATATTAAATCTAATGTTTTGTATTTGAGACTAAGATCCGACATTTGACGCTAACATTGATTCAAATACTTTATTTCAGATTTTGGTTGCACAGAAGGTAAATATTATCATACGGTCCTTGCTTTGTGATCAATAAAAAACTAGCATAATAAGAATTTGTATTATTTATTAATAGCTAGATAATGCCACCGAAATTAAATTTAAAATGATTGATCTTCAATGTAATATTCTCAAAAGCACAAATAATTTGAAGGCTGCACGGAACCTCATGAAATCTAGTGTAGTCGAAGCAATGGAGTAGGTGAATTTCTGTTTATGAATGAGTTAAGTTGATTTATACATATATATATACATATATATATATATGTGTAATTTAAACTTTATTGTTTTAATAGCTTTTTATGTAATTTTTTTTCTCTAAAAATTTTTTTAGGCGTAATATGCCGGACTGGACTTATCACTTTCTGTTACAACGTGCGGAATTTCATTATGCTGAAGGCGACTTCAATGGATGTTTGTCAATATTAAAACAAGCAGAATCGATGGCCGAGCAAAGGGGAGATTATGAAATGAAGGTGAATCGAGAATTCAAAATATACATGAATGAGCTTGAGGATAAATATATTAATCGCTTTTGATTTTTCTAGGCGTGTATTCTAATATCAATAACACAGTACGCGTCTATAAGCCAAAACTATTCAATAGCACAACATTCCCTCTCCGAACTTTCATCGGTCTATTTTCCATCACCTTCACAAACCTCCCAAACCTGTCCCGTCTTTCCAATATCAAACGATCATCTTCGTCTATATTATTCGCTCTTATTCATCATCTTCCATATGCATACGGGAAATGTGAAAATTGCCATCGAAAAATTGACGGAAGTGCATCGTGCATTGGATCAAAATCAAAATGGAAATTCATTGGATGACTTAAAGGGTTATACTAAAGTAGGAGGCTTTTTTTATATATCCCTCATATCTCTGCATCAGTCATATTTAAATTGATTTTCTCTATAGATACAAATATCTGCGGCGCCTACTTCGACCACAACAATGCTGCCGTATTCTTCATCATCAAACTCGGGAACTCGTAGTTTGTCAGTATTGGTCCGTTGGCTATCAAAAGCCGAGATATATACCCTCACATTTTTAATTTCTGGTATATGCAATCGAGGTGATACGGCATCATCGAGGGCGACTACATTTTTAACAGAAGGTTTGAGGATTGTAGAAAGTAAGCCACATAGACCTTTTTTTATCTTGAATTTTAATAAAATAATAATCGTTTGAAAAATTTGATTTCTCAAATATTTAGAGGAGATAAATTCAAACGATGGTTAGTATATGTTTTCCTTATATTTGGTAATTGTGGTGTAATGTATTTTAATTGGTTTTTCTTCCTTAAAGACAGCCATCTACCTGTTCACGATGCCATAAAAACAAAGCAATATTACGTTGTTTTAAAGGCATATATCTTACAACATCTCGTTGACAACTACATACTAAAGTCCAAATTTGTTGAGGCCGAAATGGTGGGTATAGAATAGTCGATTTCTCAAAGTAAAAAATTTTTATAGTGTTCGAATACTAAAAATGAATATAATTTAGACGCTTGCTCAATTGATGAAGTGGGTAACAGCTTACGACTTGTGGTCCAAATTCCGGGTATCCGTGACTCTCGCACTTGGCATGTTAAACCAATGTGTGGGAAAACCTAATGAAGCCGTCGCACACTATATGACAGTTGAGAAGGTAATTTATATCACGTATATATGTGACATGATATTTAAGTGAAGATGTGCATATGTCTAAATGTACCCCAATGGATTTCGGATTATAAGATTTCCGATAATAGGGAAATACGGGTACTGTCCAAAATTAATCGTGCCTTGCTAGTGTTTGGACGCACAAACAATAGTCAAGGACAGTTACAGGAGGAGGTAAATGTTTTTTGAAATTACGATTTTGGTTCGAGTCGATCTTTTCTGAATTATCGGGTGTTTCCTTGACGTAGATTGACGCGATTCTTAAAGAAATTAACCAAGAAATGATTCTTCAATCAAATAATGTTGTGGGCCTCAGATCTGCCTTACATCTTCTGGAAGCATTGGCGTGCAGTGAACTGACACGAACGAGGTGAATTTACTAATTGTATTTACATTACAAGTCGAAATGGTTCTGTGAGAAAAAAAATGTTAAATTGGTTTATTCTTGTTAATCTTACATCGTCAGAGAACACCTCCATGAATCTCTAAAACTTTCATCAACGCTATCAAACCATCAACTTAAAGCCCTGACACTCTCGGTACTAGGCGCATTATTCTGTGCGACTCAAAATGATCAGGCCGAAAAAACTTTGGCTGCGTCGTATCTCTTATCTAAAAATTCTGATAATAATTTAGGTTGCCTCATTGCTGGTCGGCTCTTAAAAGGTAGCTTGTCATCATATTGAATGGTCTTTTGGTGAACTTAATCCGGATAATTAACCAAATGAACATTATTTATTATAAATTCAGATATTTACGCATACCAAGGGAAACAGACTGCTTATTCGAAGCAAGTTTCGTATAACGATCAGCACGAGTTTGCCGTATGTAAATCCTTGACCGATTGGAATGAGAAGTCTAGAGTGGTGTTAGACATTGTAAACAATGATGTAAGTAATAACGTAGACAACAATGAATCTGCGAAGGGGTCAACGTCCACAATACAAAGCAACGCCGGCAAGAGTTCTGGTATAAAGAAATTTACGACAGATTCCGGGGAGATCTCTAGCGGATACTCGTGAACTTTAGGCAATAATAATCTTTTACCAACTTGTCGTATGCGTTGAATGCAAAAGGGCATCTTGGATTTTCAGCAATGCGATATTCTTTTGAATGGTCAATTAAAAAACTTTGTTAAATTCATGATATATTCAATCCAAAATATTCATTTAAAGACTGTGTGTGTATAGGACAATGTATCATCCATAGAAAATGAATTTAATTTCCGCTCATTGAGCAGCATAGAATTTTATTGAATATTTAGAGAACCTTGGTGTCAAGTACAATATTTAAAATTGCAACAATTATTTTTTGTCACTTAATATTCTTATTGAATGTTTCCTACGCGTAGAACGTCATGTGGGACATCAGGAATTCTTAAAATATCATGTTTTCAATGTGATTCTCTATTAATAAATAAATAAATGAGTTATAATTTACAAGTAGAAAGAATTTATGGATTATATTAACAAGTGTCGTAAAATTCAATTCACGAATGTAAAATACAAAAAAAAAAAATACATGATTTGAAAGTAGGTGACCATAAAGATTAATGATCAACTGCTGCAGGGAAGGATTCAGCTCTTAATTTATGAACTTGAAAATTTTCAAGTTGAGTCAAAGCCTCAACCTGCAATTCATCGCTTAATTCGTCAGAAGTCTCCAACTTCAAGTTCCTCAATTTCCCATTTAAGCATCTCAATATCACACCCAGGTGATCATCAGAGAAGAAATGTGAGAACTCCAAAGACCTCAATGGTGGATCACAAGTTGTCAAATAATTTTCCAGGGTAACAGGAGAAAATGACCACGGGGCTCGAATCGAAAGGTGTCGTAAATTTTGGGCGAGTTTTTGATCGCTCATTTTCTCCAGCAACCAATCTACATCGATTGCTGAGGTGCCTTCTTGATTTGACGAGGAGTTTGTTGTATCTGACAACTGTTGTTCCATATAATCATGATCATCAAAAGAATGTACAAAGCTGACGGATACCAGCATTGGGCATAAGGTGAATAGGGTGATCAATTGAGGGATCTCCGACGTTGCCACCGGAGATGTGAAATCCATTAGGTTCGGACAATATTTTGCCGTCGTCTCAATGATATTGTTACCGTTGTTGGATTCGTAATAATCGTACTTGTTTTTATCTAAAATCAGGGATCTCAACGAAGCATTTGCATTTTTAATAATTTTAGTGACGATCTCCATGGATACACTTGTATCGACAATTTCAATTGTTGACAATTGAAGTCCTGATCGACCTTCCACAAAAGGTCTCATTACTATATCAACAAGCTGACAAGAATCAAATTTTAACGTATGCAAATTTGAGAAATCATTAATATATTTGATCGAATCCCTTTGGGAAAGATTTGTGTCAATGTTTATGAGTTCCAGGTATCTCAAAGAATTTATTTGACTTTTGAGTGCCACCAAGATTGTCAATAAACCGACTTCACCACGCAATAAGGTGAATTGTTCAAGAGAATCTTGAGATTGAATGAGTGTAGCTAGATTTTTGGATTCCCATTCCAATTCCTGCATTTGTGGTTCAGTATATGAAACGGAAAGAGGAGACCTGCGGATTGTCGTGGGAGTGGTTGCATTGCTACTGCCGCCACCACCGCCACCTCCAACGCCACTCGACCAATTCGTGTAACCGCCCATATCGACACAGATTTTCCTTAATTGTTTACAGATCAATGATAAAGCGTGAAAAAGCCTCCATTTGGATCCTCTCGTTGTGCAAACAAATTCCACCAGCGGCGGCAAGCAAATATTAGCGCCAGGATAAGTCGCAATCAATAGATGTTCTTCGGGAACATTCTGTCGAAAGAGACGAAGGTTGCTTGCTTCTTCGATACTTTCGATGTTCCTATGATTGAACGTACGGTCGATAATGAAATTTTGATCGAGGCATTTGCATTGATACTCTATTGAGTTCGTTATGGTCGTGTTTATAGAGAGTGACTTTAAATTGACACACTCCCTTATTATCAATTTTGCCAAGGAATAAGAAACCAAGCGTTCCACCGAAACAGGAAAATTTTCCTTGGCCTGTGCAAAATTTGTCGATTTTGTTCTTCGTAAAACACCATGAGCCAAGGATTTCACGGATTTCACGGCGTTCACCAATTTCTTTTTAGAATCCGACTGTTTAAGCCTTGATGCAAGCGAGCCACCGTTCCCTGAAGAGGAAGAATGAGGTTGTCCGCGACGCTTCGGTGGATAATAAGATAATTGGTCAGGAGAAAGAAACAAACAATGTTTCCATCCTCCGACGACAACAAACAATTCCTCTAAATCCAAGTAGCGCAGAAATTTGATATAATTGTATATGGGTTCAATGAAAGTGGATAATTTTACTTTATTGTTCGTTAGGATCAACCTTTCTGATTTTGGCAAGAAAGATAGATAAACACTAATCAATTTGAAAGATTGAATTAAACGTTGTTTTGAGGTTCTTGAACATGTGTGCGTCTCTGAGTCATGATTACAAATGTTTATCAAGTGAAATGGTTGACTCCAAAGTATTTTCACGACATTAAGGCACCACGTTTTATTTACCAGTAGACAGGAGTGTAAGGTTTTTCTGTCCTCCGACAAATTTTCAAAGATTTGGGGAAGACATTCTGTGGGTAATAAAGAAACCATTTCATGAAACTTAAAGTGCGGGGGAAGAAAGAAATATGAAAATAAGTTGTCTGGGTATAAAATTGTGTTTATATTTTACAATACGGAGTTTGTTGGCCAATCAGGGTTAAGGAACACTTACCATGGATTGACTTGCATGCATGCATCCGAGAGAAACAGTTATTTAATGCAATTCACAAAAAGGATAATTAAAAAGAAATTACAGCCAATTGATGTGCAAAGCAACTTCCTTTGTATGTGGGGAACTTTTGTAGGTCGCAATTTTATTCCGGATATTTCGAAACCATTTTCTGCAAAACTAATTGTTTCGTATTGTCTTTCTTGTTTACCCGAAATGATTCCCCATGTATGACGTATATGACGATGGTTTCAGCGAATTATTGATAATATTTTGTACCAGAATCAAAGATATAAACAATAGCAAGAACAATTCTTTCCTTTATGTACCGGAAATGTCTGACTACGAACGTTGATTTTTGTCAACTGGGTTGTAAATTTTAATATGGTACTGTGTATGTCCTAGAAAAATTTCGTGTTGCAAAATAAACCCTCCACTTTTGTAATTTTCGGCTAGTGCAACCTAATCTTTTGGGGATACGATGACCTATTAGTGCATGCATCAGTCATAATAAATATGCACAGTAATTTTTTTGATTGCAGTTCATACGCTATTTTTGTGAAATGAAATAACTCTGTGTCATATTTATAGCATCTTCAACGTCGATTCATTTGTGCCAATGTTCTTGATTATAAAAATACTTTAATATCACAATTGAAAATAATGAAGATCCAGGTTCAAAGCTAAAGAACATGAAAGATGATATAGAGAAAAACATGAAAGACGATATAGAGAAAAACACGAAAGGATAACACGTAAAACAGTTTGTAAAGATGTATAATTTACATTATATAATCGTAACGATAACAATATTACAGTATTTATAAAATATACAGTATTTCTTCTTCATTAAAACTATAACAAATGTATTACACAATATGAGTAATGGTAATATGAGATTGTGTATTATTTGGTTGGACATACACAGTATGTTTAAGAAAATTTTAAAATAGAAATTGAGAAACATAAGGACATACTGTATGAAAGAAGTGATAAATTAGATTTAAAAATTATTTAACTTGTTTTAAATACATGATTGATACTGTATTAGATAAAATGTTTTATACAGTACATCTGTTTTATGATTTTTTTTTAGAAATGAAAAGTTTGTTATAGATTGATAAGTGTAAATTAAATTAATAAAAAGTTAATCATATTTATTTCAGATAAGTTGAAGTTGGATAATTGTATTTTTCAAATTTTAATAATACGTTTTAAAAAAAATACAAATTATTTATTTAAGTATTAATAGAAAAATAATGTATCCTTTGCTTTATTAATTACAAATTTATAAAAAGATAATAAATAAGATAAAAATTAAAATTTCCAATAGAATATTATTAATATCATATAAAATTTATGAAATATAAATACATTTTAATTTTATTTTTTTTGAAAAAACAAGACAATTATTTTATTTTTATTGATTTTATTATAAACTTAAATTTGGTTTTTATTTATTTATCTATTTATAAACAATTAATATAATTCATATTTATTATAATTTAACTAAACATCTATTTAAATAATTATATTTACAAATTGAATCTTATATTTATATAATTTTAATTTTATTTAATTATAATAAATTTATTAAAATAACTGTTTATATCTATTTATTATATAGTTTATTATTATTATCTCTATTATTTTAAAATATTTTTTTTATTACTTATAATTTAATAAATTGTTTTTTTAAATAAATAATTATATATTAAAAATATTAAATTAAAATAAATATTACTTATGATTTTTATAAATTATTGTTTGTAATATAAAATTATTAGTAAAGCTAAATTGAAATAGAAAAAATAACTCCAACTATCATCTGATAAATTATTAAAAAAGAAAAAATTTATATAATACAGTATATTAAAAAGAAGTTTTTAATAAAGAGACATCTAATTATATTGATTACATTATAAAAAGAGAATAAAAATTATATGTATAATAGAAAGAAAGTTTTATAATATCAAAATTAATTATTTATAAAATATTATATAACTAGAGAATATATATATTATATAAACAAAAGAAATATATAACAGATGAAGTGTTTCAAGATAATAATTATAACTATTTTTATGGAATAGTTTTTATAGATATTGATATTCAATTATTTCTATAATAGAATTTTTAATTATTAGCTCTTTTAATTTACAAATTTATTTATTTTAGTCACAAAATAATATTTTATTATCTTTGCTACAAATGATATTTATTGTATTAACAAAAGCAAGTATTAGATTAATTTATTTAAAATAATATTAAAAAAAGATCTTGAATCAATTAGAAAAAATATAAAGCAAGTATTAGTTGTTATTGTTAAATTATTGAAAAATCAAATTAGTATTAATAATTTTTTAGATAGTAAGAGAAAGTTCTAATTCAAACAATTATTTAGATTCAATAAATTATTAATTTGTAATAAAAACTTGTTTTGTAATAGATTTCTTGCTTTATATGTATATTATAATCTACTGTAATATTTTTATTTATATTAATAAAATGGAACCATAATCTCAAGATAAATATAACTATCTATTTTTGGTTATGGGTATGGGTATTTTTGACATATAATGATTTGATCACTATATTTTATTCTTTACAATTGTTTGAATAAAAAAAGATATGATTAAGAATAGGCTCCTAAATTATTTAGTATATAAATCAATTATATTCCTTTTAAAGAGACATGATTATTTACTTATTATTTTTATAGTATTTAATCGAGTTATTTTTGTTGAGAATGTGAACAATATAGGGCTTAACCCACTGCTTTGCAATAATATTTGTATAAACTAATTTTTCGGATACACGTTAAGTAATGTTAATTCGAGTTAACTTTGCTCTATGTATTACATCCTTTATAATGAAGATACGATGAAGGTGTAATGCAGGTGTGTGGCCACGATAAACTTTTTTCCTATATAATTATATAAAAAAGTTCTTTGAGTTGTGTTAAATTTCTTGTGATGTAGACTAATATACTGCGCCAATTACGGCACAGAAATCCATAACTGATAACTAAAAAATTTGTTTATACGCGATCTGTTGATTGTCGTACATATCCCCGCGCCAAAATGATTTGTTCCTTGTTTCCTCTAGCATTTACATTCGTACTCATTTCTTACATTATTATAATTGGCATAATCACTGTGCTCTTGCCCATCTTGATCCCATTTGTTGGGTATTAATAAATAGAAAAAATGTGTATTCTGTGAAAACCATTTATACTAATACGATCAATGTTTCATTAATTAGACTTTTTATTTTATCTAAAATAATGGAGACACTTCAAACAGCTCAAGAAAAACCATTTGAAACGCCTCAAACCCTCTTCGTGTATGAGAGAAAACCTGCTCAAACGCAAAAGTTTCTTGGTAATGGTTTGGAAAATTTTAATTATAATGTGATCATATAGAGTTTTTAATATACTTTTTAGCAGTAAATGCATGTTTTTATTGACTCCCAATGGTGGGAGTGCGACTGTACAGTGGCGATACATGTAGCAGTTAAAACATTTCCTTAATCTATAATTGTAGCTCGCATAGGCAACAGCTTCAGGTGGCCCTCCTCGATGCCAGAACGCTTTAGAAAGAATGCCTTCAGAAAAATCGCTGATGTTGAGTTCGAATTTGACGACGAGATCGGGTTTAACCTCATATTTTTCTATAACGCACTTGACAGAGGCGAATTTATTGGACATGAAAACGAGTGGGTGACGGTGCACAACCAGAACATAATAGAGTATGGACAGGAGTATAACGATGATCAATTGAATCATATTCTCGAAACTATGCCCGGTGCCATCCAACTCCCGGTTGATCAGACACGCCTACCACGTAGTAAGCCGGCGAAGATGGTAATTGTTCAGCGTGCTAATAGTGGGGACGATTACAAGGTTTGAATATATACTTGATGAGAACCGACTATCTTCTTATAAGATTACGTAGAATTCGTGTTGTTTATATAAAATTAGAATAATTGGATAAATATCGTTATATAAAAAATAGAATGGATTTATTAAAATTATAATTATTGAAGATCTAATAGTTAATAAATATATTTTTATTTGTTTAATTATTATACTGTATTATTATTAATTTTAAAATTATTTTAAACAGAATGATAAAAATATCACAAAAATATTAAAATCAAAAATATAAAAAATTTTAACAATAAAAAAAGAATTAAAAAAATTATTAGAAAAAATCAAAAATATAAAAAATCAATAATCAATACAATAATAAAACAAGTATATTATAAACACAACAAATTATAAAAAATAAACAAAATAAAATATTGAACATATAATAAAAACTGATTAATATGCTAAGTTAATAAAAGTTCACATGTAATGTGCTTTGCCTTCTTAAAAAAATAAAAACTGATTAATAACTAATTTAATTAAGAAATAAATATAGAAATATATAATTTTTTATTTTTATTTTTCATATAATAATATTATTAATAAAGTCTTGATATATAAGTTTTAATATATATATTTTGAAATTAGTTATTAATAACAAAAAAAATTAATATAATTTAACATATACTCTCTTGCCAAAAATTATTAGACATTGATAAGTTAAACGGCATTAGATACAAATTCTTTATTGATATCAATGTATTCATTACATCAAGCATTTTTTGTAATACATGACTACAACTAAATGCTAGCCTATCAACTTTATTTATCTAGTACCCAGAAGCCTGTCACTTTATGACCTTTCCTTGTAATACCAGGGGGCTATAGGGGTAGAAATCCTACCACTAGTTTTAAACTACCTAACCTATAGGGCTTATATACTTATAAGGGGCTTATACTGTTAATTATCTTATATAGATTACCTTTCATATCACACTTCTCTCAATCCATCACACAAGCAGAAGGGAACCTTTGACACAAGCACATACTCCCTAGTGAATGCTCCGATTTTGACCACTGATTGGACACTATCAAATCTAGGAGCCATTTTGACCAAGTGGGGTATGACTCCTTAAGGATCTACGTAAATATGAGTTTGTAAGACACCACCTATGAATCGATTCTTAAACTCCTAGTAGATACTCCAGATTCGGACCGGTTGGCATAAGCTGCCAAAAAAGATAAAGTTATTTAATTGTAGTTTAATATAAATTTAATATAGAATTTTTTGAGCTTTTTATAAAAATTTATATATAAAAAATACAAATTTATTATTTTATAATATAATAAGATTTTTTAAAAAATAATTATATATATATTAAAAAAAACTCTTTCTCACCCCTTTTGCACTTGAAATTTTCCTTTTTAGGAAACTTTTGAGTTGTTTACTTTTTTTTTTCAATCTTACTTTTTCTTTTTTCCTTATCTTTCCTCTTCCATATTTTTTTATTCCTTCTTTTCTATTTTCATCCCTTCTTTCTATATACTTTTTTATATAAAATTTACCACTTTCTCTTTTTCTTTTCCCTTTTCTGTCAAAGTTAGATTTTTACTTCTTTCTAAAAGTTTTTTTTCTAGGCTTCTCTTTCTTTTATAAAACTTACTCTCTATAACATTAATCTTCTGATTAGTTGATAATCTTTTCTCAAGACCATTTTCAGAAGAGATAACTTCTCTCAAAACGTGGGCTTCAGAATTTTTCTCTCTTCCATAACCTTATAAAAAAAAGACAAATGGCTTATCCCTTTCAAAAGATCAACATGACTATTATTATCAAATCTGATATTGTTTACTTATTGATAATTAGATTAGATATATCTAAGAAACTAGTGTACAACTATTATTATTTGAAAGTATTTAAGAAGTTGC